GAGGTCATGGGGGGTCACACAGGGATCACACAGGGTCAGGACACCCAGGACAGGGGTCACCTGGGGGTCAGAGGTCATGGGAGGGTCACACAGGGGTCAGGGGGGTCCCGGGGGGCCCCTCCCCCACTCACCCGCAGGGCCCAGCGCCAGTCGGCCGCCAAATCCTTGACCTTTGACCCCGCGATGTAACCCAGGCCGCTGGGGGGGAGGGGCAAGGTCAGAGCCCCTCCCCCCTCAATATCTCCTGACCCCACCGCCCAGCCCCTCCCCCACCCACGTCTCCCCTCCCCCACCATGCCAATAACATCGCCCCTCCCCCACCCCATTCCAGCCCCTCCCCCCTCCCATATCTCTCCTCCCCCACTCCCATAACCCCCTTCTCCAGCCCCTCCCTCTCCCCTTTTGGCCTCTCCCCCTCATTAAAATACCCCAAAATAGAAAAAAACCCCATTAATAAAATAGCCCAAAATAAAAAAAAATCCCATTAAAATACCCCCAAATGCCCCCAAAACAGCAAAAAAGAACCCGTTAAAATAACCCAAAATTAAAACAAAATCCCATTAAAATACCCCCAAGTGGTCCTGAAATAACAAAAAAACCTCCTTAAAACAGCCCAAAACAGAAAAAAAAATCCCGTTAAAATAAAACAGCCCAAAATAACTTAAAAAATCCCATTAAAATAGTCCCAAAATACCCCAAAAAAACCATGTTAAAATAGCCCAAAATAGCCCCAAAATAGCAAAAAAACCCATTTAAAAAAAACCCAAAAAAGTTTAAATAGCCCCTCCCCCACCCTGTTTAGCCCCTCCCCCATCTTTAGCCCCTCCCCCACCCCCATTAAGCCCCTCCCCCTACCTGCCGAGGGGCACCATGAGGTAAAAGGCTCCCAGGGCGCGGCTGCGGGCGGGGCCCCGGAACAGATCGGCCACCAGGGTGGGGGCCAGCGTGGAATAGGCCGCCTCCCCCACCCCCACCAGCGCCCGGCCCGCCAGGAGGGCACCAAAGTGGTGCACGAGGGGGGGGGGGGGGGCGGGGGTCAACGTGGGGGGAGGGGCGGGGCGGTGGAGGTGACCCCGCCCCTCCCCCGCCCTGAAATTCCCCCGGTTTGGGGGTGAAACGGCCCCTCCCCCACCCGGTTTTGGGGGTTAAACGGGGTGGGGGAGGGGCAGGGGTCAAGGTGGGGGGAGGGGCGGGTCAATGGAGCCAAGCTCGCCCCTCCCCCACCCTGAAATTCACTGGGTTTAGGAGTGAAATGGCCCCTCCCCCAACCGGTTTTGGGGGTTAAAAGGGGTGGGGGAGGGGCGGGGGTCAAGGTGGGGGGAGGGGCGGGTCAATAGAGCCAAGCTCGCCCCTCCCCCACCTTGATATTCACCGGGTTTGGGGTGAAACGGCCCCTCCCCCACCCGGTTTTGGGGGTTAAAAGGGGTGGGGGAGGGGCCAGAAGGGGTGGGGGAGGGGCAGGGGTTAAGGGGGGGGAGGGGCAGGTCAAGGGGTGCCTCCCCCACCCTGAAATTCCCCCGGTTTGGGGGTCAAATGGCCCCTCCCCCCACCCCCAAAATGGTCCCAAATGTCCCCAAAATTATCCCAAATGACCCCAAAATGGTCCCAAATGATCCCAATCGGTCCCAAATGTCCCCAAAATGTCCCCAAATGTCCCCAAAATGCTCCCAAATGATCCCACAATGGCCCCAAATGTCCACAGATGATCCCAAAATGGCCTCAAATGACCCCAAAATGACCCCAAATGTCCCCAAACATCCCCAAATAGTCCCAAATTATTCCAAAATGGTCCCAAATGGTCCCAAATGTCCCCAAAATTGTCCCAAATATCCCCAAAATGGTCCCAAAACAGCCCCTAATGATCCCGAAATGGCCTCAAATTGTCCCAAAATGACCTGAAAATGACCCCAAATGGTCCCAAAATGACCCCAAAATGATCCCAGATGATCCCAAATGTCCCCAGGGCTCCCAAAATGCTCTCAAATGTCCCCAAATGCCCCCAAAATCCCCCCAGTTTCTGACCTGTGGTGGGACGAAGCTGGTGGCCAGAGTGACCCCGGACCAGAGGGTCAATCCCAGCGCCAGGAGCCGCTTCCGGCTGTGCCGGTCCCCCAAAAACCCAAACACGGGGGCCAGAACCATGTAACTGCTGATGAACACTGGGGGGGACAGAATTCCCAAAAAAATCCCATGAGAAACAGAGAAAACCCCAAAAAATCCCATTAAAAATAAAGAATTAAAAAAAAAAATTGCATAAAAAATAAAGAAACCCCATTAAAAATAAATAAGCCCCCCCAAAATCCCATGAAATATTAAGAAAACCCCCCCAAAATCCCATAAGAAACGAAGAAACCCCAAAAAAACCAAATAAACCCCAAAAATCCCATAAAAAACAAAGGAACAAAAAAAATCCCATAAAAAACAAAGAAAATCCCCCCAAAAACCCCATTAAAATAAAGAAATAAAAAAAAAAATCCCATAAGAAACAAAGAACACCCCATAAAAATCCCATAAAACACCAAAGAATTAGAAAAAACCCCCAAAACATAAAAATCAAAGAAACCACCAAAAAATCCCAGAAAAACCTAAAGAAATAAAAATAAACCCAGTAAAAACCCAAGAAACCAAAAAATAACCCCTTAAAAATCCCATAAAAAACAAATAAACCCATAAAAAGCAAAGAAAGCCCCCAAAAAAACCCATAAGACACCAAAGAAATAGAAACAAAAAAACTACTTAAAAAACAAAGAAACTGCCCCTAAAAATCCCATAAAACCCAAAAGAAATAAAACCCCAAAAAAACACCTAAAAAGCCAAAGAAATAATAAAAAAAAAAAATAAAACCCAAAGAAATCAAAGAAAGCCCCGAAAAACCAAAGAAAGGAACAAATCCCGTAAAAAACAAAGAAACCAAAAAGATCCAAAAAAAACCCACCCAAAAAAAACCCCCCAAAAAATCCCAAAACCCCAAAATGAGCCCGAAGATGAGGAAGAAGGAGGGGCGTGGCCACAGGGTGAGGGGGCGGGGCCAACGGGGTGCGACCTCACCCATTGGGGGCGTGGCCTCACCCGTGTGGGGTGAGGCTGAGGGGGCGGGACCAGACAAGTGTGTGGGTGTGGCCAAACAGGGCGTGGCCTCACCTGTGAGTGGGTGTGGTCAAAGGGGGGTGGGGCCTCACTCGTGAGTGGTTGCAGCCAGAGGGGTGTGACCAAAGGGGGCGTGGCCAAGATGGGCGGATCCTCACATATGAGAGGGTGTGGTCGAAGGGGGCGTGGCCAGAGGGGCCACGTCCTCACCTGTGAGTGGGTGTGGTCAAAGGGGGTGTGTCCTCACACATTCAGTGGGTGTGGCCAGAGGGGTGTGACCAAAGGGGGCGTGGCCAAGACAGGTAGAACCTCACATGAGTGGGTGTGACCAAAATGGGCGTGGCCAAGATTGGTTTGTGATCACACGTGAGTGGGTGTGGCCAAAGGGGGTGTGGCCAAAGTGGGCGTGTCCTGACCTGTCTGCAGGAGGCCGGAGCTGCTGTCGCCGATCCCGAAATAATCCTCCACTTCCGGGAGCACCCCTGGGGGGAGGGGCTCATTGGGGGACACGCCCACCACACCTGGGACACGCCCACACCTGGGACACGCCCACAAAACCGCCCGGGACACGCCCACGGCCACACCCACCCTAAACCCTCTTCACTGTGCCCTGCCCCCAAAATCCTGCCCCGCCCCCCTCACACCCGCCCCTCCCCCACCCGCCTCATTCCCCTCCCCCTCTCCTGCCCCTCCCCCGCTATTTACACCCCTCCCAACCCCCCCAAATCCACCCTCCGGCCCCTCCCCCACCCCGCCTCCAAGCGC